CACGATTCCTCCAAGACCCTCTGCTAGCCTGCCAACTTTTCTCTTTGCAAATTTGGAAAGATCCTGCTGCCCAAAAAAATGCCAGCTTTGCTGGCATCATCAGCGTATCGTCCGCCGATTAGCCTATGTCTCTCCTCTTCCCCCGGTTCGCCCACCAGATCGGTAGCCGGTTTTTCTTTCCGTGTCTTTCCGTTTCTTGCCGCGTTTGCTAAATGATGCGCTGCATCATTTTTTCGAGGGCGATCTTTACGATTTACGGTTGATATGTTTTGGCGAAGAGCGGTGGGTGTATGGCTTTTGAAGCATGATATGACGTATCTATCGCCCTGGTTACCCCTTATAGTCAGCGGTTGCTTTCAGTGTCTTCACACTTTGCTTTTCTATTTTTTTTGTTCCTTTTCCCTTGCCTACGGTCATCCTAGCGTATTTTTCCAGGTTTTGAAGCTATTGGAAATTCTGTATTTATTGAGAAGCAGTCATAAATGTTTGCGGAAAAGCTATCCTAAGCCTATGCCTAAGCCTAAGCCTAACCTGCTACCCCGCCATCTATTACAATCCGCGAAACCATTCCCGCTTCCCCTCAAATCTCTTATCATGTCCTCCGGGCATCGCCGCCGAAATGCAAATGACTGCTGACCCCGATTAGGTGGGGCGTCTCACGGATTAGGCTCCACCCCCCGGCGGATTATCACTCGAAGCCGCACCCTAATTGCTATAATTTTGACGTATATTGGTAGGCCGGCTTCAAAAAGGGCCTCTGCTAGCTTGTCCTCTCCTCTTCCTCAACAATCTCTGCTAGCTTGCCCTCTCCTCTTCCTCAACAATCTCTGCTAGCCTGCCCTCTCCTCTTCCTCAACAATCTCTGCAGCCTGCCCTCTCCTCTTCCTCAACAATCTCTGTAGCTTGCCCTCTCCTCTTTCAATCTCTGCTAGCCTGCCCTCTCCTTCCTCAACAATCTCTGCTAGCCTGCCCTCTCCCTTCCTCACCCTCTGCCCCAGCCTGCCTTGCTCTCCCTAGTGTTCTCTGCTACTCTCTCTCTACTTCACTCCCCATAAATGATCCTATTCTGTGCCCTTTCCCCCCGTGTTTCCGGCCGTTTCCGATACGGGCGGGCTAATTTGGAGAATTAGTGACTCGGTTCGAAGTTTCGCGGGGCTCTTTTTCCGCTTGCCAAAAAATGGCGTAGAACCGCTGGGGAAAGGTGATCAGGAGCCGAACGGAAATCCGGGATACGGTACCCGCGTGGGTGGTGTAGGCTCGCCTGGGTTTAGAAAATCAGCCTCCCAATTCAGTAATTGTTTTGGAACCTTGACGGGCTAGCGGAGATTATTGAGGAAGAGGAGAGGGCAGGCTAGCAGAGATTGTTGAGGAAGAGGAGGGGCAGTCTAGCAGAGATTGTTGAGGAAAAGGAAGGGGCAGGCTAGCAGCGATTGTTGAGAAGAGGAGAGGGCAGGCTAGCAGAGATTGTTGAGGAAGAGGAGAGGGCGGGCTAGCAGAGATCGTTGAGGAAGAGGCAGGCTAGCAGAGACCCTTTGCGCCGATATCGTCTCGTTTGCCTGCCTCGACAAAATGTCAAGTGTATCCGCGCGTCAGCGCCCCGCGCGGATCCGATTTCCACGCGCCACCCCGCGTGACGTTGCCTGTTTTTTGGCGTATTCAGGCTTAGAAGAGCTTCTCCTTGAATTTTTCTTAATCTTTAGAATTTTGTGTCGAATTTAGCTTCCTTATTTTTGCTTTTTATGCAAATTTCACGATTTTTTTCGTTCATTCCATCAATTTTTAGGTCCAGAAAAACTATGCGATTTTTCCTACTCACAATATTCGTGCTTGTGCTGCTTGCCGAGGTGCTCCAAGCGTCGCCACAGTAAGAACTCGAATCCAAAACTTTTGCGATTTTTTTTGATTTTTAGACAGTATTTTTGGAATAAAATTTGAGTTTTACTGTGTAAATTAGGTTTAAATCCAGTCGAGAATTTTTACGTACTTTTTTAGCTTCAAACTCCGCCGTGGCGGCCATCTGGAGCGCGTTCATCGGCAGGCGCTGAGCGACTGGAAGCGGGCACATCACAGGTCGAGAAGGCATCGCCATCGGTGGGTTGTCGTGCGGTTTAAAGTGGCAATTTGCCGCGACGCGATGCGCCACGCAACGCGCCCGCTACCTTGTCCATGCCGGCATTTCATAATGCGAAAATTCAGTTGTCGAAATTCCAAAAGTCCTAGATTCCGAAAAACCGAATTTTTTTCGAAATGTCGATGTTTATTCGACTCCACATTTTCAGGCACAAAAGAAGACGTCATGGTCGCGACGAGGCCCAGCGTCGGATCGACCACATCACCGACGAGATTGACGGCTACGTGCGGCCGCGTTTCGGGCGGAGCGTCGCGTAATTTTCCTGTTTTCAGAAAATTCATTTTTGTGCTGATTGATGCTAGGATTTTCACATTTGTCACTCGATTGTCTTTCATTTATTTGCTCTCTCTCTCTCGCTCTCTCTCTCTCTCTGTCTCTCTCTATCCTATTCTCTCTTTCTCCCATCTGCTAAATTCCCAAAATTCAGGTACCCCACCTTAAAATCACTTATCCCAGCGATGTGATACTCATCCAAAAATAACTTTTTGTAGCTTTTGAACTTCTTTCACGTTTATTACTGTTTGTATATAATGTTTTGATACTCTGAATGTAAGATTTAATGCGAATAAAGGCTTTCTTTGAGGCAGAGGAGAGGGCATGCTAGCAGAGATTGTTGAGGAAGAGGAGAGGGCAGGCTAGCAGAGATTGTTGCGGAAGAGGAGAGGGCAGGCTAGCAGAGATTGTTGCGGAAGAGGAGAGGGCAGGCTAGCAGAGATTGTTGAGGAAGAGGAGAGGGCAGGCTAGCAGAGATTGTTGAGGAAGAGGAGAGGGCAGGCTAGCAGAGATTGTTGAGGAAGAGGAGAGGGCAGGCTAGCAGAGATTGTTGAGGAAGAGGAGAGGGGCAGGCTAGCAGAGATTGTTGAGGAAGAGGAGAGGGCAGGCTAGCAGAGATTGTTGAGGAAGAGGAGAGGGCAGGCTAGCAGAGAATGTGGAGGGAGAGGATAGGGCAGGCTAGCAGAGATTGTTGAGGAAACGGGAAAACTAACGAAGAAAAGGTTCAAATAATTTATCGTCACAAATGGTTGACAAATATCGATCTGAGGAGCTGCTCGAGCGTGTTGGCGCGTCGCGCGCAAGCGCCTATGCTCTGAAAAATTTTTGTGTGTACTTTGTTGCGCTTGTATACGGTGTTGAGGGATCATAATCTGAGTTGGGCTACTGAGCCGAAGCCTAAGCCTAATCCTAAGCCAAAATCCTTCGAACTCACCACAATCTTGAGCTTCTCCTCGCCGTTCGAGCGCTTCTCGAGCCGACACTGTGCTTTGTAGAACGAGCACAGATCGCGGTGAGTTCCGCCTTCCGAATCGCAGAAGATTTGCGAGCGGAATGCTGAAAAACGGGATTTAAGGGGTTGTCTTTTCGTACAGTTGGTTTTTTGGAGGTCACTCCGATTACGCGACAAAATGTGACTTAGCGCCTGGCGTTAAAGGGGAATTGAAGTCTAACCGATCACGCTATTAAATTCGGAACCCACCTGTCGAGCAAATATCATCGCAGCACGTACCCAGGTAGTCGATCTCGATGTTCTCCTTCAGCCTGCAAATTTTTTTTATAAGAGTCTAGGCCTAAGCCTATGCCTAAGCCCAAGCCCATGCCTAAGACGAAGCCTAAGCCAAACCTAGGCCAAGCCTAAGCTAAGCCTAAGCCAAGCCTAAACCTAAGCCCAGACCTAAGCCTAAGCTAAGCCAAGGCTAAGCCAAGGCTAAGCCGAAGCTTAAGCCTAAGCAAAAACACACTGCATTTTATGGAAGCATCGATAGTTGAGAAAAGTGCACAAATTCGCGTGCGTCTTCCCGTTTGTGTCGCATACCGGCTCCCAGTCGTGGCTGAAAAAACACATAATTTGGGGGATCATAGTGTATTTTATAAGCGTGATTCTATCTGCCATTACTTACTACGAATTTCAAATATTTTAATTTGAATTTTTTTTTATACTCTCTATCATTCTACCTGCATTGTCGAACGCATTCGCATTTTGGGGCCTGCGAATCGAGACCGATGTGCGTGCCGTGAAGCCTGAAAATGGGCTTTAAGGCGCTCGAGGATTCCCAAAGAATCTCTGCCGGGCCCTCTCCTCTTCCTCAACAATCTCTGCTAGCCTGCCCTCTCCTCTTCCTCAACAATCTCTGCTAGCCTGCCCTCTCCTCTTCCTCAACAATCTCTGCTAGCCTGCCCTCTCCTCTTCCTCAGCAATCTCTGCTAGCCTGCCCTCTCCTCTTCCTCAACAATCTCTGCTAGCCTGCCCTCTCCTCTTCCTCAACATTCTCTGCTAGCCTGCCCTCTCCTCTTCCTCAACAATCTCTGCTAGCCTGCCCTCTCCTCTTCCTCAACAATCTCTGCTAGCCTGCCCTCTCCTCTTCCTCAACAATCTCTGCTAGCCTGCCCTCTCCTCTTCCTCAACAATCTCTGCTAGCCTGCCCTCTCCTCTTCCTCAACAATCTCTGTTAGCCTGCCCTCTCCTCTTCCTCAACATTCTCTGCTAGCCTGCCCTCTCCTCTTCCTCAACAATCTCTGCTAGCCTGCCTTCTCCTCTTCCTCAACAATCTCTGCTAGCCTGCCCTCTCCTCTTCCTCAACAATCTCTGCTAGCCTGCCTTCTCCTCTTCCTCAACAATCTCTGC